CGAAAGGGCCACCTGCAAACCGAAAGGAGTTTTCCACCCGACTTCTGCCTGGGTTGTGCTTGGATTTACAGCACCCGTCCTTTGCGGGGACTACGTCTGAAACAAGATCAGTTCTTGAGTCTTGAAATTTACTACTCACTCTTTAGGCTATCTCTGGCTCGACGGACATCGAATGCTGATCCTCCAATTCCTATGAGCGGAACCAAGGTGAGGATATTTCATCATCGTTTCCTTGTCAAATCAACCGAAGATGATACTTTCGAAGACTCTGCGCTTGAATTCTGGTTCCATAAACTTACAACGATGGTTCATATCCCAAGAACTCAAGATCAACGACCAAATGATTGTCCTTCCATATTCAGAAAGACGATGATGAAGTGTCGGTGTCGGTGAAAATCGTTGAGAAACACGTCATAGATCCGTCGAAAATAGAAGTTGCTAGCGTTGCCTACATGATCATTTTCGGCTCAAGCGCCAACAATTTCGTTGATGGAATGAGTATGGGTAGGTATTTTTCCGTTTAAACTACTTGATTGAAATTCGGTAGTATACATTAGAACAGTACAGATGCTTTCTGGAGTCACGAGAAATCCGAGCTTTTGGAAGAAATGATTTCAATGTTGGTCGACGTCCCCTTTTTGGGATACTTCCAGGCCGCCTTTCCCACAAGAACGGTTTGTCAGTATGGTGCCCTGGGTTCCACCGTAATCTCGTCGCACTGGGGCGCTCTGTCTGACACCTCAGGATGGACGGCGCACGCGTGCACCGTCCATCTGATGTGTCAGACTTGCGAATCGCGCGACGCTGCTAGCGCATTCGCGCGATACGCTTAGCGTCCGCGGGTCGCGTTGCGGTACCAGCCAGGGTGAATAACGGTCGAGGAAATCCTCGACCATAGCTCTGCTACCATGCGAGAGTAGTGCGAGAGTGGCACGGCATGGCGAGTGTGAATGTCCGCGCGAGAGATCGTCTCTGATCGGGCAGAGAATCCTCGACGTGCCGTTGAGGAATCCTCAAGCGATATTCACCCTGCTACAGACAAATTGGGTGATTCCACTGGCCGCGACGCGAGCCGCAGCTCGCCAGCGATTCGCACGATCCGCCCAAAGTCTGAGACCTGGCAATCAGGATAAGCTGCGGACAAGATAGCACCTTTTTCGCAACCCTTCTCCAGACTCTGCGGCCCTCGCCTCGCAAACGTCCGCGTCGCCGCTTGAAGAAGCAGAATCATCGCCTTGCCAATGGCGCTCCGTACAGACGACCACATTCTCGTCGTGGAGTTGCGCAGAGAAAGCGCCGAAAACAAACGATAAACGTGTGCCACAGGCCCCACGCGAATGCGCATTTACGGTAGGGAACCCTAGGAACCATACTGAGGAATCGTTTTAGTGCCTCCCTCCCTTTCTTCCTCCTCTTTCCAATGATGCCACTTTCCCCTCCCCCTCTCCCGCTCCCATTCCCTCTTCAGTGACCACTTACGTGTCTTTCCGCCATTCAAGTGGGAAGAGTTCTTTAAAGGCAGCGAGCGCAATAAGACCGTAGGAAAGTGGAAACATGCTAAGTGTGCTAAGTAGTGCATCTGTGTAAAAAAACCAAGTGAAGCGATCAAAATCCTTAAAATTAGGACCCTTTTTGGCCCCTTGCACGGTACTGAACGAAATATAAAGCACAGCCCGTTCCCTTCCTCAAACACCCGTCGATTTCTGTCATTGAACACATCGTGATCGACAATCACAGCATTCCATCTTCACCAGATCGATATCGTCTTTAATTGTCGCAACGCCGGGTAGAGTTAGGTCCTGTGGGAAGGCGATCCTACTGTCCAGTATTATAGAGCCTTAGAGGATAAACAATATGTGGCAATCCTGTGCATGGAAATCACCTACCAAGGGGAAAAGTGTCTTGCGAATTCAGCTGCAGCAGCTGCAATTTTCACCGTCCGCGGCAGGGTGCCGTCTGGCGCTCTCTCTATTGTTGCACTCCACGCCTCGTATTCCTCTCCGTGTGTCAGTCTGGGCTCGGACTGGGGCCTACGAAGGTGACCAAGCATGCATCCGAAAAGATTTTTGAGAATTTCAGCGGATTCTTTACTTTTCTCAGTAATTCCAGCCCAGTTTCGGTGAAATATTGGGCTGATCCATAATTTCTGGCCGAATTTCGCCACTTTCATTTCACTGAGTTTTTTCTTTCCTTGGAAAGAAGTAACTTTATGCAACAATTGTAATTTTACTGAGCCGTCGCATCGCTGATATGCGTTCATTTGCTAGGCAGCGAATGGATGCATTCCTCTCAAAACGAGTGGAGCTATGGGATGAAGAGTTCGGAGAGGTCGTTTTTTGGGTGGTTGTATTCAGTGACCCCTTTCTCTCGAAGGTACTGCTTCAGGGCATCGAGAAGGGGATAGTGCGATGAAGTAATGTTAGGGCTATACGATAGAAGTGGTATCGCGATCCTAGCCAGTTTCCTTCAGAAGGTGGCGAGTTATCTTCGCAATGTAAGGTCGGGCGTTCATCCGGAGGAAGGAGATTTTGAGACGTTTCGAATGGTTCTCTCGCACTGCTGCGGCCAACCTCGGGAGTTATTCCATGGTTATCTTCGCAGTGGTTGTCTATATAAGATGAAGCAGTTCTCAAAGTGGGATACCCGACCAATCCTACAAATTGGGGGTAATATTCTCTGACGAGAGAGGTCAGGGTTTTGGGTGAGATGGTGGGTTCAGGCTGCGAGATAGCCATAAGGCGTGCCGCGTGTTGTTGTCGTAGTGGACTCATGACTCATCTCCACTGGTGACCGACTAGGGAAAGTCCAGGCTATGCCTGCGCAGAATGAAATTTCTGCAGATGGTCAGGTCTGCTTCTCGGTCATGGTCAGAGATGCATGCCGTTCCCATCGAAACTTCATTCTGCTACAGCCCGTTTCATTCAGACAGCTTGCGGTGGTGCATCGGCTGTGCCCAGGTATCTGCTACAAATCTCAGGTGGTAGCGTCCGGGTGAACTTCCGATTCACAGCGCAATGGATCCTCATCGAAAGTGACTGGGGCCAGGATGAGGTCAAACTTTGCAGCTTGTATCGCCTTTGCCGATGCTTTCAAGCCAATAGCCCAGTGCCCGATCAGTAGCAAAGACTGAGGCAACACAGCGCTGGTCTTGCCTACTGCACTCCTTGCAAGGTTCTTCTTTAAATGATCGTTAAGCATAATCGCCTGCTTTGGTCGTTGATCCATTTCGATCCCTACTTACTTATTCCACTGCCCTTTGACCTTCTGGAACATCCTAGTTTAAGGTACTGATGCCTCCTTCAACATACTAACTTATTTCGTAATGACACTAATTTGACATGAAGAAAATTGATTCTGAAAAAATTCGGCCAGGAATTATGGATCAACCCAATAAAAATTTCAGTTTCATTTCACCAAAACTTTCATATTCGTGCGCAAAACCACACTAGTTTGATCTTGAGGCATGCCTTTAAGTCCCTTGTTACAGGATTATTAACAAGTAATGTAAAATAAGTATTTGTTCCAAAAAACTACGAGTGACCAAATAGATCATAACCAAAGCTTCCGGCAATTTCCGCTATAATGCTGCCAAATGTAGGTGAAAATTAACATGTGTAAATGTTCTGAAAGCGTAAACATGGAAAAATCGTAAGTCAGATGATTCTCCACAAGACTTTGCGCGTGGCCGCTTCTCTACTAAGGGCCATCTAGAAGGTGAGCTTCACCAGGACCTGTTTCTTATCGGAATTTGAGTCTTTTTTGCTCTGAATTCTGACCATGGTCTTCTATGACCACCGACAGCACACTTATACGGGAAAAAAGAAATCGATTTTTCGTGCACTGTGCCTTTAAGTATGTCTCATGTTCAATGTTCTGTGTCGTAACTATTGAACTGGACAGTCCGTGGTAGTAATCTGTGGTTCAATCACGTATGCAATTTAAATTTAGCGATGTTGAAGTGTTTCTATCAAGAGACTCGCTACGATGGGGTCAATGGAAATATAGAACTACAAGTTTATCAAAAATTTGCAAGCGATTAACAAGGCAGTATTCAGTGATGAAAAATAATTCCAGGTGCTGCTTTCTCGGACAGCCTTCTTCGAGGTCTCAGTATCGGAGTCGCTGTCGTGTCGCAGCAATTTCCACAAGAGCTAGGTATCCCGAGTCAAAAAACATTAATTTCACAGTTTGTTTATTGTTTATTAATCGCTAATTCAATATGTTTAGCCGCGGCCTGCGGCGCTTCCCACGATGAATTCAGCTGAACCAATCCCCTCCCCCTTCCCTATGATGGATAGGATAGAGCAGTGCACAAATGTTGTGCCGTTCTTGAGGCTCAAAAGCACGCGGCAGGGGACGAACTAGGCAATTTCCTTTTAGGTTTCCAAGTTTTAACACAGGTTCTCACTATGCAGCGGTCGGTCTTCGCAGCGGAGCTACTGCGTCCTCTCGTTTGATACAGTCTTTCTCCTGCTCTCTCCTTTGCGCCCAGTGTCTCTTCGTTGTAGCACAGTCCACATCACAAAAAGAAGGAGGCCCTCAGTTTTAGAGTCTCTGGCGGTTTCTTCTCCCTTTTTCTCCAGTATGGTTCAGGTTGCTTCTCTACGTCCATTTTCAAGCGAAATGACCCCTCTTGCTACAATGAAATGAACCTTCGACCTTATCTCCGCTTACGTTATCCTTTCCGAAGTTATACTGAGATCTATATGTACAGGAGAATAGTGGATGGGTGGGGGACGAGTAGGGGCCTTATTGCAATTATAAAATTTCTTACACCCTTACGGAATAGTCGTTGATGTTTCACAAGAATGCTGGGTTGTGAACAAAACTTTCGCCCCAGACGGGACTCGAACCCGCACCTCTTGCTTACCGGGCAAGTGCGCTACAAGTTACGCTACAAGAGTTGGGATGAAATGGTGCCCCGGTAGCGTAACTGTAGCGCACTTGCCCGGTAAGCAAGAGGTGCGGGTTCGAGTCCCGTCTGGGGCGAAAGTTTTGTTCACAACCCAGCATTCTTGTGAAACATTCGCAAGGCGAACTGCGGCCAAAAACAGCATGGTAGAGCTGTAATGGGCTTGATCTGTAAAAAAACGAGAAGGCAAAGCATGATATCTTAAACCTTTCACATCCCACCTTATCGCCCCGCACAGAGATCTCCCCTATTTGAGCCGCATTCCTCCTTGGGATAAAGAAGGGGAGGGGGCGTTGTTGGACGAGTTTCACGAATCTAACTCTAGTTGCTCCAATGCCATTGACATTGTGTCGCAATAGTGATGGGTTGAGCTTGCGATAAAGGTGTGGGGGCGCTGGTCGTGGACGAGCTTTCTAAAAGCGCCTCCTTTGCTCGTGCAACATATATCAAGTTGCAAAAACCGAAACGCAAGACATCAACAGCTTGTCCTGCTGTCTACTACCCCCGGGACTGGGCAGGCGAGCACGCTTCATCCCGGAGCGTGTCTTCAAAGGCACTGATGACGGTGGCGAGAAGGCGGCTCGGTTGTGATATGACTGGAACGCATTGATGGAACAGGATTAAGGGGCGATCCCACACACCCCCAGTCCACCGATGGCCTTCGATGACGTCATCGGAACCGCGCCGCCCTCTACCTATGGTGATCATTCTTTGGATTTCGGTTGGCCTGTGCGTTTGTCACGCCCCGACCAAACGACACACACACCCGACCTTCGGGGTATCCCCCCAAGAGGCCCGTCGCGTGGCGAAGAAAAGAGGCGCAGACGCGGCAAAGGACGAGTTGCAATGCAGACTCTGGCGGCAATTAGGCGTTAGGTTGAATAGAATGTACCATACTACGTCTCATATCGGACAGCACGCGCTGCGACTCGTCATGGCCACCTTTCAACCTCTTTCTTCGGCCGCGCAGCGGGGCCTCTTGGGGGAAACCGGATCCCTTGAAGAGGTGCGACTATGCCTTCAAGACTCTTCTTTGTACATGAACCGTACATCGACGGAACCCTACATCGACCGCTTCGCTAAGCGGTCCGCGTCACGTTACCTACCAGTAAATCCGAGTGGAATCGCTAGTAGCGAACCGATCGATTCGCAAAGTGTGACGTCGGCTGAATGCGGTATCATTGAACACAAGTTGTTACCACAGGCTATGGAGTACAATGTGGGATCGGATTGGGGCCAAAGCATTAAAGCTAACAGAGCTGGACATGTGCTATATAACCTCAAAAACAACATTAGGCCTCTTTAAATACCAAAGTGATTAAGTGAGCAAATTTCTTTGCACAGCCCGGGTGGGCTTTCACAAATACTTGCATAATTATTAGAGTTCTACATCAACCGTACTCATGTAATACATGAAACAAATGCCGCTCGTTATTCCAAGGTATTGCAATGTTGTGACGAGAAGACTCTCCCTCATGTCAACCTTCATCAGCTCATTGCAGCCTTCTCGAATTTCGGGTATCTGAAAAGGCTAACCTTTGGTATTAGAATGAGCGGCTCAGG